TCTATCTATCTATCTATCTATCTATCTATCTATCTATCTATCTATCTATCTATCTATCTATCTATCTATCTATCTATCTATCTATCTATCTCAAACCAACCTCATTGTCTATCCTGAACTTCCTGATAAGACCGAGGTCATTGAACATTCTCATGGTTGCCGTCATCATCTGGTCCCTGTCTAGCGAGAAGTCGTTGAAGGTCAGCTCCTGTAGCTTCAGCTCCACCTCCTCTGGAATATCTTGTTGCTGGATAAGAACAAAATTCACATCAGTATGTGGTTTCTTATGAGACCGCTAGGAGTATCGTGGAAGGAAAATAAATCAAACGAGGTAGTACTTGATGAAGCCCTTGTAGGACGTTCACTGTTAAAAACAATCAGGAAACGACAAATGCAGTTTTCGGGACACTTAAGCAATGTCTTGAACATCTAGCTCTCACTGGCAAAATTGAGGGCAAACGAGGCAGGGGTAGGCCCAGAGCAACCTACTAAGAGAACCTAAATGGGTAACAGGAAAAGATAAGGGAAACGTAGCTTTTTTTAGAGCATCCCAGCAAAAGGAATGAATGGAGAACCGTGATCGCTGATATCTGTCTCAGATCTGGCACTGGATGATGATGATGATCATTCGTATTATAGTTATCATCAATATTATCATTATTCAAATTTCATTTTTTTGACGCAGCTCAGAGGGATAGAGGTGGGCTCTCGTGATCTAGAGTGTAAGGTGTTCGCCTCTCATTCAATACAATAGACTGTGGGTTCGAATCCGGATAGCGCAATGGAATTTTTTCTTCTCTTAAAATGTTCCCCTTTCACCTCCTTTCCTGCTCTCTAACAATGTTCTGTCGTCTGCTTTCGTCGCCACTTTCTGCAGATGCTAGTAGTGTACTGAAGCGTTTCAACCTTGACATCTTGTAGTGAATGGAGGGAATGCAATGGAATGTTGGGGGAAAAAACCTACATGCGGCATCATCTAATCTAGCCCATGGAAATGAAAATCAGCGCTGCATTCGGAGCGGACTTTATCGGCGCAGCTTTGGGCGCGGCATATATCAGTCCCGTGGAAAGAAGCCTTTATTGTGTCAATGGGCTTCTCTTTACCCAAACAAACATACAAAATAAGAGGACATAAAAAGAAAAGGTAAGTGTAAACGTAGTAAGCAGACAACACCAGAATGATACAAAAAGCTCATGGGGGTGTCACTCACCTTGAGCCAGGCCACGTCTTCATGGGGCACCGCCGCGTGATAGGACAACACCTGGGGGATATCGTATGAGGGTGACATTATGGCAATAGGTGGAGAAACGAAATGACTATATTATGGCGAAAAAGTACATGGCAATAAATAGTACATTGACAAGAGAGTTCGCGTGTCTCTCTTTCTCTGTCTCTGTTACGGTCTCTGTCTGTCTGCCTGTCTGTCTGTCTGTCTGTCTGTCTGTCTGTCTGTCTGTCTGTCTGTCTGTCTGTCTGTCTGTCTGTCTCTCTGTCTGTCTCTCTGTCAGTATGTCTGTCTGTCTGTCTGTCTGTCTGTCTGTCTCGGAAAAAGGTGAAAAAACCCTCGGAGATCCCGTGTGCAAATTGAGCACGTAGAAGATCCCATAGGTGGTCTAAAATTGATAAGAGTAGGCTCTGGCCGCCACCCAGGCAAAATTCAAAATTTCCTACCAGCTGAAAATGTTTAATGTGTCCCGCACGCTCATATGATCTCATGCAGTTGCGAGCGTCGTAAAACACTTATAAAAACAAAAAACCACCCAATAAAAAGAACCTGGAACTCTCCGTTCCAACTGACCTCGAGTGCCACAGCCTGTCGAGCCGCTGCCAGCGACACCTGCTCGTACAGCTGACAGTTGTTGATGCCCAGGCCACAGAAGATGGCAAATGCCTGGATGGGGGAGAAAGAGAAAAAATAATAAAAGTAATCATCATCATCATCATCATAATTATAACAATAATAATAATATGATGATGATGATGATGATGATGATGATGATGATGATGATGATGATGATGAT